CCTGAAGGATAGCATTTTTAGAGTACGCAATGAAGCCGAAAACGCCTTCCAAGGCTTTATTGACTGTCCAAATAAAGATGTTTATGTCAGCGGAATAAAAGCGCTTGTTAAACGTTGGCAAAGATGTATAGCTTGTGTTGGAAAATATTTCGAATAAATTTTCTTTATTTTATAAACAATAAAAATAGTTTTGACTGCCTTTTCAAAACCTGCATAATATTTGCACCAGACCAAGAGATGTTTATTTTTGCTAATATATTTAGTTATTTTATTAAGCATTATTTTTCTGCTATGCTGATTGATAAATCTTGAGATAAATCTTTGGCAGTCATTGCTTATTCAAACTGGGCACTGTTTGGAAAAATTAAATTGAAAATCATTTTTGCTATTATATGCGCACAATTTTTTGCATTTCCCCAGTCATAAAATAAGAAATTTTTAATTTATTGTTTTGTTATTTTTGATTAAGTTTGTATTGAATGGATCTCTTCCTGCAAGCCTATGGCAATTTCTGGTTTTAGAGCGATACTGAATAAGCATTATTATGGTAGTTCTTTTTTAACAACGGCGTCACCACTGAAAAAAGTACGTGCCGTAGGGTTTTGTGCCAGGTTGACATAAGGCTGATGATTGAAAACGTCAACTGTTCGGACATCGCTGGGAAAAAGCGTGGTTGATTGATAAGTGGTAAAGGTAGCGGGTGTTTACTCCGGGCAGTTACCGGTTTTGCATACTTCCTTTTGCCCTCACTCCAAACTATACAAAAAAATAATAATTTTTGACCGATTTCAGGTGCTCCTCCCCCGGCGACGCCGACTCCTGTCAGATGTTGAGCAGGAAAAAACGGCGCGGCATCATTGAAAAACGGAGGAGGGACAGGATCAACACATCGCTTCTGGAATTGCGACGCCTTGTGCCGTCCGCTTTTGAAAAACAGGGCTCCGCGAAATTGGAAAAAGCAGAAATACTCCAGATGACGGTCGACCACCTGAAAAACCTCCACAGCAAAGGTAAATTATCAAACTTGGACATGCCAATTTTACAACCTTCTTCATATGACAAAGAATATTAATAATTTGAAAGTCTTCAACTCCCTCTCGAATTTTCCCTATTCCCTAACATCGGGGACAATGACTTGCGACTGGGATTATTTAGGAACCATCTCATTTATTTTACAACAAAAACTAAGTTGATGCAATGTTCATTGTTATTGAACAATTCAACTTAATCAATCTTAAGATGTTGAAATCTCAATTCTTACGAAACAAAGATCTTGAGCCGTAATTTGTGCTAACTGTTTCAAATTTTTAAATTTTTGATATAACTTTCATTAGTGTTTGCCATGTGGAAAGTCATCATATGAATTTTTGAAAACTGTGCCCAGATAACAAAAAAAGAAACTGATTGTGCTGAAACTGTCAGCGAGTATTTTGATTCCGGATTGAGTCATCGTCACTCTCGCGGGACCCTATCAGTCCTGTTAATTTCATGTTGATTGGTACATTTAGGGTGCAGGTACCAACGGGAGGGCCGTGGGAACGTCCGAACTCTCATGCCGGAAGAGGAAGCGAGGCCATGTGTCCGCGCAACAGGTGCCCCCTGCCCTTGACCAAGTCGAGGGTAGCTGCCGTACGGGTTTGACGTTTCTGCGTCGACGGACATCAGCCTTCCTTTCTCTACTCTGCCATTTGCACTTTATCCTGTGAAATTTTTTCTCACATTTATTACGCTCAGTTAGACGATTAATGGCCATGTCCACTTCATGAAATCGGTAAAAAATGTATATATATTATGTTCAATCTAGCAGTTTTTATAGAAAAACGTCTAAAAAATTCATAACAAAAAGAACCCTTCTGATCAAAATATTCAGGGAGACTTGACTGACCAAGACTCATTAGCAACTTCTATTGAGCTCATCACCTCACCCCAATGTTACCAATATTGCTTTTACCTTAGTTTTGGAAAGGCTACACATGAATATTATATTAATAATAATATTAATTTAACATTTTATTAATAGCAAATTTATATTACTTAACTGAGTAATCTAATTAATGTATACTAAAAATAATCGAATGTAACAAAAATTAACCATCAGCAGACGATCATGTAGACAGCGCATAATATAATTCAGTATTATCATGAGCAAAAATTGATTGATTAGTTTTCAAATTACAGGAAAGAAATGATAATTAAATCATATCTATTGGTTGTTAATAATACTTTACATTCATATTCACGTATACATTAAAAAAATTTTTGTTTATCCATTTATCCATAAAAACAGAGGAGAGAGAGAGAGAGAGAGAGAGAGTGAGAGAGAGAGAGAGAGAGTGAGAGAGAGAGAGAGAAAGAGAGAGAGAGTGAGTGACGGAGGGAGGCTTATCTAAGTGTAGTTGTAACCAGCAGACGTGAATATACCCAATTTGCTCTATTTTGAACAAACACATTTTGAAAAAGTTAGGACAATGCAGATCTAATATGAATCAACATTTCAATTGTCTATCTGTTTTGTACTTCTGATTTCCAATTTTGGTACATTTTCCTTTTTCGAACTTATGAAGGGCGACGAACAGAGTTCGAAAGTTAACCCGTGAAATTTTATTTGCAGAAATCCTCTACTTAAGAACGGGTTGCGAGCTACCCTTAGATCTGGGGCGTGTGAACTTGGGGTGGTTCGAGTAGGGGTGAGAACTCGGGCCGGAACCCACTTCCCACGAATACCCGACATCTGCCCTCTGCTCCCCCTCCCTAGTTCGTGATACTACTTATCTGACCAAGGGAGACTCATATTTGCACGACAACAAATAAGGTTTTATTTCCTTTTTCTCATCGGCTTCCCCTCCCGCTTTTTTATGCTCTGACGCGCCATTAGCACAGCACAATAGATTGTTTTCGATTGATTTACATCTTGTTATTGTTCACACGGCAATGTTTCTCGACATTTTTGCCTATTGGTTTTACATCACGACTAACAGGAATAGAAACATAAACAATTTTGTTTTGAGAAGGAAATAGGAACATATATTCCCAATTCTGCAGCTAATCCATTCAAGGATGTGGGAATACTTTTTGTTACCTACGTTAAAAATAATGTATTGTGCAATACTTTTTTTTTGTCAATGGTTGATGGTCACATAATAAGAATAAACAATTTTAAGTTAACAAATTTTTTTAAATACGGTCATAATTACGTTTTACACAATGTTTTTTATTTGTAAAACTTAATCTCATAAGACCTGTTTTAGACTATGTATAAGTATATATTTTCTCTCGCCCTCTCACTCTCTCTTCCCCCCCCCTCTCTCTCTCTCTCTCTCTTTCTCTCTCTGAGTGTCTGTATCATCAATCAATCTAACTATTTCTGTCTCTCTATAAGAAGCATGATGTAAAAAAATGATAAATTTGTTCAAATAAATTTTTATTAGCTTATGAAGCTCATCATGATGAAAATAAAGAGGTGTAATCATAAATATATGTAAGAATTCATAGTTGTGCTGTAGACCTATTTTCGAAAACAAAGGAAATATAAATTATATAAATATGTATAAGTATATATTCTCTCTCTCTCTCTCTCTCTCTCTCTCTCTCTCTATCTCTCTCTCTCTCTCTCTCTCTCTATCTCTCTATCTATCTATCTATCTATCTATCTATCTATCTATCTATAAATCAATGTGTATCTCTATAAGAAGAAGGACAAGTTACAAAGTTCTTAAGTTCTTACTAATTTATGACGCAAATAATTTATGAAAACAGCAATGTTAATTATGCGTTTTAATGATCCCAAGAAAATTAAGAGAAATATTTTTCTTTTTATATGTAAGAAATCTGCATATAAGGAAAGTATTACAGTAGGAAGTAATTTCAGTGTTAATAGCAGTTAGCATTTTCGTTCCTGGTCAATTATTTGAAAGGAATAACAATAGAAGAAGATGTTGGATAAACAAAAATGTCTCATTCAGTATTTGTTTGAGTAAAAAATGTACTCATTACGAAATGTTATAATGAGTTTGTGTAATCCGTTGGTTTAATCCGTTTCAAACGAGAAATTTGACCCACTGAGAAAAACGCCCTCGCCCATTTACACTTCGAATTCATGATGAAAGACCGGGATTCATGAAAGGACTCGACTATGAATGAACGGGAGGATTCATGTGTATGATATTATGCTCCCCCAAATGCGGAACCCCTTCGCGTGAGAGGGTGCTGCCAGTTAACGGATCCAGACCAAAACCCGCTAACTCAGGAAATCGAAAGTTTCCGGAACGGGTTGCTACCTGACAAAATGATGTAAAAGCCGGAAACGGGCCGAGGTATACAAGAAAAAACCAACCCCAAACGAAACAGGTTGAAAAAAATATAAATCTGTGGGGGAAAATTCTCTGTGCTACCTGTGCCTCTTCTTCATCCGAAACCACTCTTTTCTAGTTTGTTCTGTTTTGGCCTGTTTGCCCTTTGGCAATTTGTATTATGTTGCAACAATAACGTAATCCCGGATCGAGTGTCTGACGTCCAAAACGGGAGATTGATGTTTTTTCCTTCACGTCCAAGTACCTACTATCCCATTTTTTCGCAACGACAATGGGGGTGCTTCTAAATGTTATTGAACTCCAAGTCGGATTAATGTTTGTAATTTTAGCAAATTTATATGGAGATGCAATATAGCTCGTTCGACCCAGAAGATCGTATTTTCCGACTTGATTAACTTAGTAAACATGTAGTTAATTACGTACGGCTAATTGGAAAGCGATCTAATCCCACTTTCAGTACACTTTCGACCGAGAGTGAACATTTGAAAAGCAATGAGTCATGCAATTTGCATCATGTTTGACATGTAGGATTTCCTATTCTTGGAGGATTCAAAATAATGTGAAATAATAACAATCAATAAAAAACAGCAAAAAAACAAAGACGGGTGCAATGCTACATCGATCAAATATCTTGAGTGATATAGGACCGTAAACACTTTCATTCCCCATTTTAGTGATAAAGTGAACAGGAACAACAATCCGTGTACGTTACCTTACTACCTACTCTGTCGCCAGTCCAGTTGGAGCATGACAATATTCTTCTTCTGTACAAGGTGGTGGCCAGGCCGTTTCTCCTGTACTCGTTTCCCTCCTGGAATCTCACATCCTGGACTAATATCTCTAAGCACAAGTTTTAGAGACTTGCGATTGATTCGCCCCGATATATACGCATATCGGAACTGCACAGTGCGACAGACACGTTAATAGGACGTAGCACGTGCTGGATTACATCAGAGATACAGCCGTTACATTTTTGAAGCAATGCGAAGCTATTACAGTACAACTGATGCCAAATAGGCAATTATTACTTGGACGACAAGTCCATACATATGAGAATAAAGAACGCTCTCCTCTAACTTAGCCATTTTAACTGGGGTTTGGCAACTAATATGTTCCCCGCAAGAGCAAATAATGTCATGTAAATAATAAAAACATCTTTATAATTTTACCAGCCGGAGGTAAGTGTCGCTAGTCAGAAACTCCACCAAATCGCTATGTATTTACATTGGTAAATAAAATTTCTCTTTTGTTCTGAAGTAATAGAAATGAACATTTTATTTTATTACTAGGTGTGATATGAAAATCTTATTTAATAAAGCGTTGTGCCATGTGAATCCATACATTAATTTGTTCATATTCAGTGCTAATAGGATGTCTTTTCGATGTTTCAGGTTTGGACAGCATGTACGACCCGACAAAAATTGCGATGGATTATCACAGTATCGGGTTCCGAGAGTGCGTGACCGAAGTTGCCAGGTATCTGGGCACTGTGGAAGGTCTGGACCACCAGGACCCACTGCGGCTGCGGCTGATGTCGCATCTGCAGTGTTTCGCCGCGCAGCGAGAACTTTCCAAGCAGCCGCCTTTACCTTGGCCGCCGTATCAAACGCAGCCGCAGCACGACACTTCCGCATCCTCCGCTTCCGGTAATTCCTCCTTTGAGAGTTCCGGCAGCAACGCCTGCGAAATCTCGCCGCAGCCACCATCGACAAGTTCTACCCTCACGCCGCTCACACCGGCCGCCCCTTCGACGTACCAACATTACCAGACGTACCACCAGATACCACACCAGCCTCCGCCCTACCAGGACTATTCCACGCCGCAAAAACCATATAGACCTTGGGGAGGAACGGAACTGGCGTATTGACAATGAGTTGTACAGCTCACCGAACTGGCAATGGCTGCGACAAAACACGATTTCTGGAAAGAAAATAGCACTGGATTTGAAACAAACTTCTTGTCCATGTTTCAACTCTTCTTAGTTAAATATCTCAGTCCTAATTTACTGACCGAACAAATCGAGTTAAAAGACGTTATTTATTTGGCAAAAATAATACTAAAGTTCCAACTCAGTTCTTCATTCAGCTTCAACGAAGAAATAAGAAGATTTACAAGGATAATAACATGTAATCATATCTTCACAGGTGTTTGCCTTTTCGGTGGGCGATGACCCTTTTAGACAATAACTGTGTGCACGAAAAAAAAAACAAAAAAAAAACAACAACTGCTAAGTCATATACAAGCTTTAAAAATCGGGGTAATGTAAATAAAAGGGATTTTTATTTTGTACATATCGTCACTTATGGTATACAAAAATATATTTTATTATTCTTTTTATAGAAATTATAGTATTTTTACATTATTGCACAAAACACGTGCTGCTTTAGATTGTGATCTCTGTAAATATAGGTTTATTTATTTTTCTTGTATTTATTTTTTTTGTACAATGTAAAAAAATATATTTTACGAGTGATAAATTTTATAAAATAAGACATATTTTTTAAACTTTTCATAAAAGCGTACTTCCCCTCTGACTGTCCATGTCTGTTTGTAATCAGTCATCCTAGCAAAAATTCTATCATGAGTGCACAAAAATGGTGGGTAAATCTGAAAAATTTAGAAAATATCTAAATCGTAAAAAGATATCTTTGTTAGTGGTTAATATGTCTATCTGTCTGTTATAACTTAACCGCTATCAGTTTAGTCAACAATGGAGCGCTCTAGTTGAGGGGCTTCGTATGGAGCATGTTGGCTATTTCCCTCAGTCACTTTTCTTGCTTTTTGACCGTTGTATCTTCACAATAAACAAAACGGAGAACGTTTATCATAGTTTCCTTTTACATATTCTTTTCTCTTTCTTCAATTCCAATAAATATGGAACGTTCTGATTAACTACTATCAATGATAAACTAGTGAAATTTGGTAAAGAAAAAAATAAAGATTATATGTCTACTACGCATGGTCTCCGATTGTCCACCAAGACCCATAGCGATCTCTATTTATTCAACATTATAATGTCTTGTTTCCGACTTAAAACTGTGGTCGGAATTCAGAAATCCTGAGATTACATCGTACTGGATGGGGGGGGACTGACCATCTCACTATGTCCCTCTTTCTTGCTCTCACTCTCTCTCTCTCTCTCTCTCTCTCTCTCTCTCTCTCTCTCACTTCCTCTTCTACCTTCCACACTTCTCTTCCTATTTCTTTCTCTTTATCTCTCTATGTATCTCTCTATCTTACTGTTCTCTATCTTTCTTAACCTTCTTTCACTTTCACTTCATTATTTATGTATAAATTAATGAGTGGTATATTCTAATTTTTTCTTGACGTCTCTCTCTCTCTCTCTCTCTCTATCTATCTATCTATCTATCTATCTATCTCTCTCTCCCTCCCTCCTACACGACCCATACGATTTCACAAACAAATATTTCCTATATCTATATAAATATAACCACGATCAAAAATATATTTTAAATAATGCAAACTTACGTACTAAAATGCTAATACAAATAGCTAATCGTTTCGGCTGTACTTGCCCATTATTGGTACATTGCTTAAAACGAACAAAGTGGTAACTAGGTAACTAACTTGAAATTTGATTGCAAATGACCACTTCCAAATGAATATGATGGATCTGGTAAGAAAGCATATTCAGACAGAAGTTTAACAACTACCTCGTACCAAAAGGTAAATACGTCAAAACTCAATCCTTCGCCGAACAAACATATCACGATTAACTCCAACGAATACAGATCTTGTAGGTTCCATCTTCTCAAATGAAAAAAGTTCAAGAAAAGTGTATCAACCGTAAGTCAATTCTCTTTAAATTCTTCTTAATTACCATGCAAAAGTTTAATATATAAGAGAATTTAATTTTAAAACGAAAAGTGAATAGAGGAAGTTGTTGAGCGAAAATTTTATAAAATTGATTTTTCACTTTTTGTCCTACTCCTGGTGAAACAAACTATATGAAATACATTGCAATAAACATATTAATGCTGGCAGGAATGAACTTAATATTGATTAATTTTTCTCTACCTTAAATCAATTTAAAAACACCATAATAAATGAGAAAATAAAGCTTTATGTTAGTCAGGAATGTTAGTCACAATAATTTATTACTCTATGGGATTCTTCTGTAAATAAAAAAATAAAAAAATTAATGATAAACAATGAAAATAATAATTCTTCATAAAATGTGACCCAAGTTTAGCAGAGTGATAAGTAAGATGTGCTCCTCCTCAACCAAAAGAAAAAAGGAAACCAAACTAAAGAACTAAAAACTATCATGACTGCAGTTTTATTAATAATATTTTAAATATCAGCCTCTACGATCGTCACTTTATTTTAATCATCCCAATCACCAACTATACAGAAATAATACTTTTCTGTGAGCTTACTGATTCTTTGCCGTATCGCATACACTGTTGCCGATGGGCTGAGAGAAGTGATAAACTCAACTCTGTACATGGGTGTGCAGATTATAAATAAATTAATAATCAATTCGATATACCCCATGCCTTATTGATATGCTATTAACTAGTAAAAATTCTCATATTTTCTAATAGAAAACTTAATCTTTCTTACTCTAATATACAATGCAGTTGAAAAACTTCTGAATGGCGTTTGCAAAAAAATGTGTTGGACGTGCAGTTCAAATGTTGATAATGTTCAAAACGAGATAAACTTTGATTGATACCAATAAAACTAATTTAGAAAGCAATGGAAAATAATTTTCTGATTTATTTCTTGGTTCACTGACAAAAACATTATCTTTTTTAATGGGTTTTCCTTTTGTTCTTCCGCTACCGAATGGGATTCCGTTGCTGCGATTACAAGCTTGTTAGATCGATACTCGCAAACCGCCACTTGTACATTCCCTGGATTTTTGCTGGATCGACGATGCCTTATGATAACTTATTACCAAGGAAATAAACGACTTATTTATACGGTATAATATACGTTTTTCCGGAAAGAGGACAAATTATTTAAAAGCTCATCAAACGTAAAATGTAATTTTGTAGTACTGATGAAAGTAACAACATAAAGCATGCTAAAAGCATGATGGACACTCGAAATTTGATGAAAAAAGTCTAATTTCCAGTATGATATTTTCAATATAATCGGTCAGCAAATGCTCTTTCTTTTGAGTACGATACGCTTATCGATATTTTGCTATCAGTGGTGGTTTAGTGAGACGAAAGACCAAGCAGCAGATTCATCACCCTGCAGATCTCATGAAGAAATATCTGTATTACAAAATCTTTTTAAACTTAATATATTTAAAATCTTATTTCGCTATTAACGTGATATTGTTAGTGAGCTGATGAGAGTTAGCCGAGATGAAGCAATTTGTTGTCTCATACGTGGGAGGCGTCCAAATCAACGGTGTCCCTTAAAGCCCAATTTTCTCCATGCCGATAAGAGACAACCTTTAATAACCAGTCGGAAATAATTGGGACACCCAACATGATAGTGTACCACACCGGGAAAGGACATATTGCAAAATGCTGCCGGGGGCAGGTGACGTTCCTGACCGGTTTCTCATTAGAGGCCGGGTCGTGTGACCTCATATTCACATTGAACCGATTCCTCGCTAATGGGCCGAGCCCTTCCACAAAAATTGAGCCTTTTTGTCAGTTCGTTTTGTCCGGAGGGTCGTTTTTAGTGTAAAAGATCGAAACGGTACCCGGACACGTGCCTGCCCTAGGGGCATTTGGCCGAGCCCATTCAAGCAGATTAAACATAAAAAAACTAGATTTTTCCTGTTTTCACCCCTTTAAGGGGGTGGGGGTGGATCCGGTTTTCAAATTTGCCATACTCAATTCTAAAACTTCAAACTAAATTTTCAATCCATTTTATATTTTAATTTAATGAATTTATTTACATCGAACATCTCTCCGTACTGCAATACTATTTCGGCATACAGTCATTATATAATAGGAACATGTTATTTTACATCATTTACGGTTCATTAAGTTCATTGAAACATGTTTTGAAAAGACAGACGCGAGTGAAAACCCAGTATTATACTTTTACTTCTTTGTCTGGTCATGTATACATTTAAATATGGGTAAATTTTTGAACATGTAGCTATAAAATAACAAAATGTATATAATTGAATAAATCGATAAGTAAATAAATAATAATAAATACACGAATAATTTATAATTTTTATTTACACCTTTACTCCGTCCGAACGTATAAATTTTATTATCACATCGTTCACATTTTGTGTGCTAAGACCTAGAAAAGCTTTAAAATTGAAAGGTTTTTCGAGCAGTGATATCTTATACAATCGTCTAACATGATCTCTGTTTCTTTATTATATTTTTTACAGGTCATCCCTATGTGTTCCAAGCTATCCTTTTCCTTGCATACAGAGCAAGTGTCGTTTCATGCTTGTGCGAACTTTTTTAAATATGCGCCACATAAACCGAGATTCGATCTGAGTCTAATCATAGTGGTTCAATCACTCTTGTTAAGCCGATACTGATCGAACCTCGGTCTTTTTTGGTCAGTTGGTATGATATCTAAGTAGAAGGCTCCAATTGAGTATGTATTATTTTGGTTCCATTTTTCAAATATTTCTTTTTTGGTCATGATTTTTGCTTCTTCGACTGGAAGTAGAATGTTCAATATTTCGCCTTCTCTTGCTGCTTTTTTGGCATTCTATCAACAACCTCATTTCTTTGAATACCCCCGTGATCACGTACCCAGCAGAAATTACATTCTACCTTTTGTTTTAATAATTTTTGTGCAATATTTCTACGCACTTGATATGTACAATTGGATTTCATGGAAAAATTTTGGATACTATCTATTGAGTTTTTGGAGTTCATCAGAATAAATACCAATTTTGGATGATAAATTACTTATTTTTTCCCCTACTATCTTCGTTTCTAAAATGGCTTCAATTGCCTTATTTATCCCAATCAGTTCAACCGTGTAAATCGATAAATCGTTATTTAATCTATATTTCTCATTTGTTCCCGTTTGGATATCATACCATGCACACCCTACACCTTCAGCACACTTTGTTCCATCCGTAAATATTATATATAGAGAAGTGTATACGGATTTGATATCGTTCTAAAATATTCCATTTACTACGCAAATCAGAATCTCACTATAGTCCCTTAAATAGTAAACACTTTTTGTCTACTGTAAATTTCATATTCAATAGAGCATTTATGGAACTTGGAAGAATTCTGACTCCTTCGTTGTATACATTTGTATTTACTTTTATCTTCTTTATATCTCTGTCTCTTCTCTCTCGCTGTATTTATTTATGTCCCT